ACTTAGGCGGGGGGTGGGGTTATGAAGTTGCTTACCAGCAGAGATCTTTTACATTTTTGCAGTAACTGATATTTAGATTGTTAGTCTTCTTTCATGCATACTCGTTATGATTTGATAAAAAAAATTGTATTTGCTTGTAATGATTTAATGACCTTCGGTATACGAAGATGGTATTCACATTCAAACATTTTTAATTCTCTTGAACAAACTCCATTATAATGGAAAGGGGAGAAAACAGATGTCTTCTATTTACATGGAATACACCATCTCTAGTTTGAGTAAAAAGGTAAATTGTTAATATGTTTCTGTTGGATATCATCTTCATCCTCGGAGCTGGACGTTATACTGATAGAAGTGTCTTTACAAGAAACCTTTTTGGTGCTGCTTTGCATGTTCTTACTAAAGTGCCGCCAAGAATCTTCTTTGCGCTAAAGAGACTTCTCACCAAAGCCGTTTTCTTGTTTTGAAGCTTCTGAACATACATGAATAATAACGAGAGTTTATTGTTCTGGATTGCTTGCAACTTGTTGATGTTAAAGACGTCGTTCCTTCTCTATATACAGATTTGTAAGGGATTTGAAACTTCAAACCTTTCTCAAATCAATTAAAGGAAAAATTGTCTGTCTACAAGTGTTGGACACACATGAACACAGTTTTCCTTGCATGGTTCTGTTCTCTCATTTAAAACAGAACTAATACAATCTAACCAATCCTGTCAGAGTCTGTCTACAGAACCTTGATCAATACATGGGACCGTGTTAGCTAGGCCACAGAAACTTCCAATCTATATAGCATTTGTCATTTGATCTGCTCTTGAATAAATTGTGATTGGAAACTTGTTGTTTAAAAACTTAAAACTTTTTGGCCACAGAGATCCATTCCCCATCTTAAATTCAAGAAACATGACATAAATCATTACAAAAAATTGAAACACGATAGATCAGAACAACAAAGATGGACCAACCCATGTGAAAATCTCTGTCCCACGCTTTTAGACCACATATTTCAAAGATCTGAGAGAAGTTTCAACTCCTTAATTTGATCTGTATATCCATCCACAACACAGAACAACATTATCATATCATCAATTACCAGCAATCAAAATAACTCATATAAGTTTCAAAATCAATACTTTCAGATTCAAATGGCTTTAGTTAGAGCCTTAGAGGTATATACGTTGAACGTTTTCCTTTGAGCTCAGGTCCGCTCAAGGCTTCACTCTTGTCTTCACTCAGGTCAGCTTCATGGCGTTTCTTCTGTTACGCCTTCTCCGGACCTGTTGCTTTGTGGAGTCACTTTCAGATTTACGATCGGCTCTGTTTGTCGTAATAATACAAATGCTTCTTCTTATGAACACTATATAAAGGGTTTCTTCTACATATGCTTCTTCTTCATGTACCCATAGTGTCTCAAACCTTCATCAATTAGCGCCATTGGGAACTACTTTCCAACATTTTCCCATCATTAGACCAGACTTAGCTCATCAGGAACTACAGTTGCAGAAGAAGAAAGCTTCTTGTTTAGCTCTACTAGTTCTTCACCGGTATCACATATGTATGACGAAGCTTGTCTCCCTGATAATGTCGCTCCTTCCATACTATCTATGTAATCCTGTAAGTGTAACAAGTCCAGAAACAAAATTCTCACTTATCTTTCGGATTTCTCAGACACAATTTGGAGGCAGTTCTTGCTTGCATTTGTCACTATTGGGGTTACCTGCTTTGTGTATGAACCAGCGACGAAGAAATTCTTTATGGGCGTCTTCTGATCGGGTCTGAATGGATCTTTTCCGGGTGCTTCACGGTACAGAGACTGAGCGATTTTTACAACCGATGACCAAGTGACTTCTAGGCTCCGTGACGATGGAAACAACTCAGTGACCTGAATAAGATTTGAGAATCAACAAAAAACCAGCTTGACAAAAGTTTTCTCAAGAGTTGAATTTAACCATGTTCTTTACCTGCATCGCTACTTTCTCTATGATCTTATCGTTCGGCATTCGCATGTACGGATCTCCCGGTGTTAGAACGCACCTATGAAAACAGAATTCAGTTTCAAGACACTGAGAGACGTGCATGCTATTTTGTGGACAAAGAAAGAATAAGTTCTTTCTTACTGAAGTAAAGTGCCTTGTCCTTCGATGTAATAATCAGCAGGCGAAGCGAGTGCAAGATCCGCAAAGCACGAGAAATCAGCATCAGGAGTGTAAAGAAGGTTATCTAAACCAACCGCTCGTTTCAACTGCCTACAATTTTCCGAAACACAAAACAAAGACTTAAAAAAACCCACACAGAATCGATCCATCATGATCATCCCACAACATAGGATTCTAGATTACCAACCTGGAAAGTTCAATGTCTTGTAACTCTGTGACCCAACCATTGTATCTGAGCTGTACTGTAACAGCAGGTACTCCCTCGAGCTCATATATATCGTTGAAAAACCGAGATTCCCTCCATTCTTTTGGAAGTAACCTTTTGATTCCCCGCATATCACATGCTGCAACATACACATCAGCTTTCACAATCTTCTTGTTCTTAGCCTGAAAGCAAACCAAAAAAAAAAAAAAGCCATTAACTTTCATATCTAAGTTTTGAGCTTTTTCTCTACCCAGAAGCTGCAAACTTCAGAACGTATTAAGACATTTTCGCAGTCCGCTAAAATTCTATGTCTGAAGCTAAATTTCACCTTATAAATTGCTAGTCCAGTGACATAAGTTTCTCCATCTGCTGATTTATCATAAAGTATCTCCCTGCAACCCCACTTTAGATGGATTCTGTTGGAAGACATTATCATTACCCCATAAGCCGATGAGATAATAAATGCGGGGATCAGTTATTGTAGATAATAACAGAGACACACCTGCCACCTCTATCTGTGATATATTGTTTGATAGGACCACTCAAGTAAACACAGGAGAGCCCTTGAGCATACGCAACAAAGAAGCTTCTGCTTTGGTGGCGAATAATGAGAATAGGGTAAGCATGCATCGTGCAATCATGTTATCGCAGTCTATGAAACCGAGAGCATAAGCAACAGGATCCCAAATTCTCTGGGTACTTGCCTGTGTCCCACCTTTCGACAGGAACCAATCCGAGAAACTTATCTGCAGAAGTATCTCAGAAACTTAAGAGAACATAAATAGGAGTACAAATGAGAAGAAGCAAAGGTTATCTATCATCCTTTACGCTGTCAAGATTGCGAATGTCTCTCATTGCTCCATCAAGGTCGACGAGAGCTTTAACAACCGGGCTTAATGCAAGAGCCAGTGAATTCCTTAGTTTATCATAGGGCTGTTCAGTCAAAACAAGAATAAGCCATTAGTAAGCTAGATATTGCTGTGAAATTCGAGAAAATTGTTGCCGATTTCCCACAGCAGAAAAGTGCATTGACATGAATCCAAAGATTTAGATATCTCCAGAGAAATCAATTTAAAACTTTAACTTAGACCTTGAGTTGATTTGTGACCAAAAATGCACGTAACAGGAAACCGAAAATCAAGCTCTACAAATTATATGTACATCTCAGTATGATAAAATCACAGAGGCTATCATAGCAAGAGAATAATGAACTGAGCCATACCTCCAATTGTGCCGTCTTTGTTTATAAATGAATGAGTATGGTCTTTGACAAGAAGGTTTTTCTCGGCACCCACCTACATCACCAAAAACAAATTCAGACACGAGTATGAGATTCAATCATCAAGCAAATTCGCGTGGAAGCTTTGAGAAACAAAAACCTTTTTCATCGAACGGAAGAGATTGTTGTAGCATCCAAAGAAAACATGTAATCCCATTTCAATATGGTTCCCACGTCTATCTACAAAAGAACCCACTTTGCCACCAATGAATGTCCTAGAATCATATATATCTACCTGAAACAATCACGAAAATTACACATTTATGCAACCAAATCAAAGGTAAACAGCTAAAGGCAGCGGAGGAAACACCTAGTGACCCTGATCCAAAAGCTCTACATCTCCTATAATGGCTTCTTTCAGCTTAGGTCCCTTGTACGGTACAGGCTGTGGAGGAAATAACCCCTTTGGATAACCAGACCATTTAAACAGTAAGAGATGATCGAGAATCAGGATGCTCCAGAACATGATTGGAAGAGAAAACTTTTCATAACATGAAACCTCAAATCTAAACTTGATTCGTCAACCACTCTACTTCCCATGAATAAGCTAAACTGATTATATAAACAAAAGAGTTTCATCTTTTTATCTAAACCTTCAGAGTTCAGAATTTATCTATATGCCAAGAAAGAAATTGTTTCTCATCAAAATTAATAGATTGAGCTCATCTATATGCCATGAGAATTGAAACTTGATCCTCTTCAAAAGTGGGGTTGTTCTTGACATAAAGCTAAGCCTTTTAATCCTAGTACATGCCAATTTCTCAGAATTTCCATAAAAAATCCGATTTTCTCAAGAATCAAATTCACCCAGAATCCGAAACATCCAAAGGAATCAACCTGACGCAGAAGAGACAGTAAAGATTTAATTTTTGTTTGGCTAATTACCGTTAACACTCATGTCGGAAACATCGGAGTCGAGTGAAGAATTAACATAAAATCTCCGAGACTTCAATGAAGGCTGGGAGAGAAACCCAGTAGCCGGAGTTGCGGCGAAGACGATTGAAGAAGCCATGGCCAATCAACTGAGATAAGAGCAATCGCTCTGTTATTCGAAAAAAAGAGGGTTGCCGGATTTTTCAGCCCTAACTAGTTGCAAACTCAAGGAATCCCCCTATACTTTTTCGCACCTAAAAAATCACCAACAACTAACAATTTCTTTAATAAAACATCCTCAACTTTCAGATTCATCTTGATTAATACGCCTCCAATTGAACCGGCCATTAAACCGGGTTTAACCACAAATCCGCGTTTACTGTACCGCGATTAGGATTACCTGCATAAGTACCCATGACCCGAGAGTTAAAACGACGTCGTTTAGGGATTTCTCAAAATCGCGAATTGGGGGTTTAGGGATTTCAAAATTAGGGTTCATCTTCATCAAGTCTTTGGTTTCTGAAATTGCAGCGATGAGCATCAAACCTCTCCATTATGTCTTCTTCATGCAGATCTTTCTTTTCTTTTCCCCTCGGTTTCTTCTCTCTTTGCCCTTCTTCACCTTCCTCATCTTCCTGTCGTGGTCTCTTCCTTCGGATTTCATCTCTGTCACCCTCTCCATCATTCTCACGGTTTCTGTCGTTGTTGTCACCTCCACCGTCTTTCTCACTCTCACTGTCGGAGTCGGAGTCGTCTCCTCCAGCACTATCGACATCGCCATCTCCCTCATCTCCGCTTTCAATTCCACTATCAACCACATCACTCTCACTCTCAGGAGGCACGAAATCAGGATCATCAGGATCACTTTGATACACTAATTCCTTCCACGGCCTATACTCCGATGTATCCCCAACCCAATCAGACATAATTTCAAACCTTAACCCAGAAATCGCAAATCCCCTTTCCCTTTCTCTCAAGAACCCTAATTTTGAAATCCCTAAACCCCCAATTCGCGATTTTGAGAAATAGAGAGAATAGAGAACACGAGGTCGTTTTGGCTTTGTTTTGAGAAAAAGAGACGAGTCAAAACGACGTCGTTTTAACTCTCGGGTCATGGGTACTTATGCGGGTAATCCTAATCGCGGTACAGTAAACGCGGATTTGTGGTTAAACCCGGTTTAATGGCCGGTTCAATTGGAGGCGTATTAATCAAGATGAATCTGAAAGTTGAGGATGTTTTATTAAGGAAATTGTTAGTTGTTGGTGATTTTTTAAGAGCGAAAAAGTATAGGGGGATTCCTTGAGTTTGCAACTAGTTGGGGGCTGAAAAATCCGGCAACCCAAAAAAAGATGATGTTTTTTTTTCTCTTCTTATAATAAAGAGGAAGAAGAAAAGAAGTAAAGTACTAATGACAAATGACTAATGAGCGATGAAGAAATTTGTTTGTGATGATGAATTGATGATGTATGATGCTTTCTCTCCTCATAAACTCTGTGGTGTTAACAACTGTGTTCAGTGGGCTTAACTTTTTTTTTTTTTTTTTACATAATCAAAACTTATTCGATTCGAATCAAAATTTCAATTAGGTGAAGGATTGAGCCTAAAACTCCATGTAGGAAAAGAAAAAAAATTGATAAGTTGAATGATTTTTTACTAACTTGAAGCCTAAATCTGATTTTGAGCTTTCCTAACCTTCTAGTTCTAGATTATGTTAGCCGTTTTAAATTATTTTAATCTCTGTTCTAATATGGGCTGGTCTATTTAAAACAAAAAAGGCTGAGGCCCAAATATATTTCTCTTTTTGGTCAGAATTCTCCTTGATATTAATTTTTTTTTTTGGGTCAATATATATCAACTTTTTTTTGTTTCGTTTTTAATGTTGAGATTTTATACCTTCTTGAAAGATTATGCAACTTACCCTACAAATTACAATTACAGATAAAGGAACTCGAAAGGACACCCAAAAAAGGAACGTTATTGTTTGACAGACAATTAACGATATCAAATATTTTAATAATTATTCTCCCCACAAAAAAATCATATAAAAATTTTGAATGTCTTGCAAAACGATATAACTTTCATGAGAAAAAATTCCCAAACTACAATGTATATATTGTCACTGTTTAGAAAAAATCTTTCCATTTTTTTTCTGTTTTGAGAAGATGTCCGTCACTCACAAGTAGGTAGGGAGACAGATTATTAATTTTAAATCAATCCCTATAAATAACAAACAACACCAACAACGATAATATTAATAACGAAAATGAAACTACAATAAAAATATAAAAAATCAGATCCCAAGAAAATAATGTTGAACTGGGACCTGCTTATGCTTAATACAGGTTGGTCCAAATTTTCAATCTGAAACATACGTGATGATAATTAATCATTCGAAGACTTTTGCGGTAGCATTGTCAAACAAATTAAAACAAAAGGAACATTAGTACCCAAAAGACAGAAGGAAAAACTAACCAATTACTCCATCCGTTTCGTTTTAGTTGTCGTTTAAGGTTTTTGCACACAATTTAAGAAAATCATTAAATTTTTTGTTTTACCCATTATTAATATATTTTATAATTTTTTCATTGGTCAAAACATTAAAACATTAATGACAAGACATTAATTTTCACCAAACAATTGCATTGAAAACCTAAAACGACAACTATTATGAAACAAAATTTTAATCCTAAAACGACAACTAAACTGAAACGGAGGGAGTACTAGTAAACAATTTAGGAATTAAGATCAAATTAATAATCTAGAAGTTTATGGTGATTTTTTAAAAATAGTAAAAAAAAATCTATCTATACTAATAAAAGGGACAATTTGAGGCTTTTCAGAGTGTCCACCTCAGCTTTTACAAAATCTCTCAGAAGTTGCCACATAAGCAGGCGTCGTGAAAGCTACTTCTCAAAGGCCACGTGTACCTCCATTTATAGCTACAAAGGGTTCTCACTTCTTAAAACGTCAAAAAACTTTGATATAAAATCAAAACGTTATCACTTCTCTAAACTTGGTTTACGATTCGTCTCCTCCATCTATCTTTCATCTGACTGTCCAAGTTCTTCATCACTAATTTTGAACATTTTAGAAATTCTGATTTCTTTTGGTTCTCTAGGGTTTTCACTTTCAATCTTATTTATTTTATATCAAAAAATCAATCGCTCCCTTTCCCGTAGAAAAGTGGTCGTTGTTGATCTCTAGATTTGAACATTGAGAATTAGAGAGAGAATGGACAGAGCCGAGAAGAAAAATAGTGAACCTAACCTACGGTCGTCTCGGGATGCATGCTCACTCTACAACGGACAAAAACCACAAATCACGTCAGTGACAGTCATTATCAAGCCGGATATTTTTCTTTCTTGGTTCAAACTTATCAAAATACAGCAATTCTAGGTATGTTTCCTTTATGGTATTATTTCATCTTAACGTCTTCAGTAGTGGCTAATATTACTTTAGAACCCATTTGGTATATGGTAGTTTCTATCCACTGATCACTCCCAATTTAATTAACTTTTGGTTTTCTTATGTCGACGCTAGGATTTTGGTATGAAAGCATAGTTAGTTCATATATTCATGCGGAATGGAGAAAAAGATATTTTGGATTAAATAATTCCAACGCAGAAGCGTCAGAATTTTTCCTACATTATATACATCTTTTTAAACCCCACATCTCTTCTTCGAAACTTAAGATTCCAAGGAAGAGGATCTATGTTGCAGAGACTTATGTTGGTTTCAAATGTATTGGCGTGAATTGGAAGCAAAAAAGAACTTATGTTGGTCTCAAATGTATTGGCGTGACTTGTGAGTAACCATGCAATGTAAGTTTCATCAAGTCTTATATGTCTTGACTAAGAAGATGATGATGGATATATAAGCACGCATTATTTGCAGGAACTCGAGAGGGTGTTCCATTTAAAGGCGTGTTTGGTTTAGTTTATGATGCAAGGGTTCTACTTTGCCCAATCATGCAAGGGTTTCCTTTAAAACCAAAAAAAAATTCCAAGAAAAAGGATTATTGGTCTCAGTTCCTCCATCGACTTAGACAAAGTAAGTGTTACTCTAATGATTTACATAATTTCTTAGAGATGTATCTATATACGTTAAGGTCCAGATATTTTCTTTACACAATTACACCATTGTCTTTTGGTTATTCTACATGTAGAATATGTGCTAATAGACATGTGAATTATCAGCAAGCTGATATCCTAAAATTTCCAGACTTCTCGCCAAACTGTTAATATCCCATGTATCATTGAGAACAATATTCCCTTAGATACCATATCAAGTGAAGAAAACTTGAGGACAACGGATGTCGATTGTGAGATTGTTTTCACAATAGGAAAAACAGAGCAATCATGGAGTCCATGAACTCAAACAAGCCCACTGCAGAAAAGAAAAACAAATGCGCCCGTCTCGACAACTAAAAACACCCTATTTGTGTCCAGGTTTTCATGGGTGTTCCTTTCGTTGTGTTTTCATGTTTCCAACCAATTGATTGATATTCCTAAATTCCACAACTACCCACCAATTGATTGATATTCATGGTTAGGGAATTGACTTTGCACTCACACAAGGTACTGAGGTAACATTAAAGGAATGGGAAAGAAAATAAAATATTTGAGTTTTAGTTAAGCATCAATAAGGCCACCTTCTATCTTCATTTTCTACTCACCAGTGTAATAGTTGTTTTCTGCTATGACTCTGAAACGTTTGTCTAACTGTGATCCTTCTTTTAATATTAAGCCCTTTCTTCATAAAATCTTTTTTTTTGATCTCAAATTATGTGTCTTTAGTCTCTGTTTTGTTTGCAGGTTTGAGTCAAATTGTCGGATGAACAAAATCCACATTTAGATGTTATTCGAGATCATGGAGGTGATAATAGGAATTCTTTTGGAGAAGGACATGATTAACTATACCAAATCGAGAAGTTATATAATGGAATTCTACGAGAAAAACAACTATAATAACCCCAACAGAAGATGGTTAAGTCATGCACATTTATTCGAGGATATGGCCAACATTACAATGATTTAGTAACACTTATAAACTCAAAGTTAATTGTCATTTCTCTGCTTGAGTTGAAAAAGCTTTAGAAATTGATAAGATTTATCAAAACATTGTGGAAAATAGCTCTTTAATATGATCTCATGTCTATCTCATATAGAAAACTAAAGTTGGTAGTACACAAATTAGAACACAAGTCCCACGTGTAGTGTGGGATAGCCCCTAGTCAAGGTAAAAGGTACAAAGATATCTAAAAGATCATAATAAACAAAAATAGATTGAAGATAGTCTTAAGGACTGGAAACTATATTCTTTTTAAAAATTACAACAACAAAAATAGAAAAATCAAACAAGCTATTTGGTATGCCTTTACCACTTATTTAAACAAATTGTTTTGAGATTTAATCATATGCTTTACCCACCTATTTGGTTGACAATCGAATGAAAAAGTCAAGACATGTGATTGATTATCGTATGAAATATTCAATCTCTTTTTTTTTCTAAAATAAAAAAATAAGTATATATATTCAATCTCTAACCACCTCTATTACTGTGTGACTAATTAATGCATTAGCGAAAGCCCGAGAGAGTAGTATGGGCTCAGTCGTGGGCATTAAATACATGCCAACTTACTTACTAGTCATGAGATACCACCACACGTGTTAACCATTCCTTCCAGCCTTTCCACTTCTTATTTTTTATCCTACTTTTTAAGGATATAAATTTAAAAATTTCACGATAATTAGAATATTGAGACAAAGTTAAAACACCTTTTTAAAAAAAAATTAACTTCAAGCACAGAAGAAAAAGTGACTATTTGTGGTGTGTCAACAATGACAAAGTTCGAACCAAAGGTTGTTTTTTTAATTAAAATCTGAGATAAGTGTATCGATAAAAAAAATGTAAATAAGTTTTTGTCCGAAATTTATCGTTACAAACTTACAGTCGTTTTCCGCGGAATTAAATTCGAATTTGGTACTTTGCCAAGAAAATCGGGTAATTATTTTTAACGTTTTTTAAAAAATGACTCGGACAGTGAAAACAAAGTTTCCTTTTTGTCTGTTTCTTTCTTATTTTGACTACAGTAAGCACACATTCTCCTCTATTTTGGCGAATTTTGCTCTGCGCATTCTTCTTTCTCTCTCCCTCCCGGAGTCTCAGGCTTCATTCTTTCCTTGGTTGATGAAACTCGATCGATTTGATAAAACCCAGATCAAATCTGTTGACATTTTTCCAAATTTCGATGCTTTTTTGAGATTGGGTTTCTCTTTCTTTTGAATTAACTTATCATCAGTTTCAGGTAAATTCTAAACACTTTTTTTTTTTTACGAAATATCGTTACTAATCTGAAGTTAAATTCGCCGCCTTTGAATTTCTCAGCGTTGCGCAGTTTTGGCCACAAAGTGTTTGTTGAAATTCCTGAGAGAGAGAAGCTGGAAATTGGGAATTCCGTAAGAAAATGAGAGATTTTCCTTCTTGCTCCGGTGAAAATGGCGTCCAGATTGCGGATTCTTCGTCTTCCTCGAGCGCTGGAAGAAATGCTCAGAATTTGGTCATTTGTATCTACCGATGCCGCATCCGAGGTAGGACTTGTATGATCACAGTCACATGGACTAAGAATCTTATGGGTCAGTGTGTTACCGTGGGAGTTGATGATTCTTGCAACCGAAGTCTGTGTAAAGTTGAGATTAAGCCGTGGCTCTTCACTAAACGAAAAGGGTCCAAAAGTCTAGAGGCGTATGCCTGTAGTATCGATGTTTTCTGGGATCTCTCGTCTGCTAAATTCGGATCCAGCCCTGAACCTTTAGGAGGGTTCTATGTTGGAATTGTTGTGGACAAAGAAATGGTTCTTCTTCTTGGTGATATGAAGAAAGAGGCTTTTAAAAAGACGAATGCCGCACCTTCTTCATCTCTAGGTGCTCTGTTCATTGCTAAGAAAGAGCATGTCTTTGGCAAGAGAACGTTTGCAACTAAAGCTCAGTTTTCAGGTGATGGCAAAACTCATGATCTTGTGATCGAATGTGACACCAGTATCAGTGATCCTTGTCTCATTGTTCGTGTTGATGGAAAGACCTTGATGCAAGTGCAGCGGCTTCATTGGAAGTTCCGTGGCAACGATACCATAATTGTCAATAGGATCTCTGTGGAAGTCCTCTGGGATGTTCACAGTTGGTTCTTTGGGATGCCATCATCACCAGGAAATGCCGTGTTTATGTTCAGGACTTGTCAATCTGTTGAAAAGACCTGGTCTTTCACGCAGGTCCCCACGAGCTCGAAATCTCAAAGTTTTGGGTTTTCATTGATTCTGTACGCTTGGAAGAACGAGTAGAGAAGAAGAGTTTTGAGAGTTCTTTTCTTTCTCTTGAGTGCTAACTAAAGGTTAAAAAGGAACTGTTGATTCTTGCCAATTTATTTTATCATATATGATATTATGATCAATTGGTTTCATTATATTTTCTCATAAAAATGTTGGAACCGGATCAGTCAAGAAGAACTCTTGTTCTTCGTATATATCAGTTTCATATGTCAAAGTTTCAACATGAGACTTGTAAAGAATCTTGTTCAAAACCGATTGCTTTGGTCCTGTATCAAGAAACCAACTGTTCAGATACTCTGTTTTGGTCTCCAACGTGCATAATGTTCCTCACTAGAATGGATAGTTTTATTATCTACATTAAGGGTGTCTTTGGCTTATGGTCTTTCTTTTATTATGACTTCCTGCTGCTCATTTGTGTACAGATGAGATTATAACGGCCCGAGCTGAAGCTAGTAGTTACTCTTAAGATGATTATCAAACATGTGCTTTGCATCCATCTAGCAAGTAGCAACATAGATAATCTTGCTGTGTCATTTTATTAAGCATATGTATATTCCTTAGACATATATCATGTCTTTGGTTTTGTTTTGCGCCATACCTTTTTAGACATTGTAAATAGTTATTATCCAGCTCTTTGCAGTTTCTGCAGGTATAAAGAGTATTGTATCAAGGAATCTAGGGAGACATGGGTTTGTACTTGAAGATTCTTGAATTGTGTGAATCAGTAAGTCATGTTTCAAGTTTTCACATTTCAATTATTTCCTTGCTTTGGCCTGTTCTCTAGCCATCCTAGACTGTTGAAACATTTTCAAATTATAATAGCATCATCATCTTGTTGTTTAGTGTTTAGGTAGAGTTTTCAACTTGCTTCAGACAATACTATCTATAGTTGTTGTTCCTGTTCCTAAGAAAAGCTGTCTGAATAATGTTTGTTGGATTGTTGAGCTTGGCCAAATACTGTTTTAAAATCTTCTCCTAGAAGCTGTTCTTGTAACAAGAACCCGTGACATGAGAGAGTTTTGCATAGTCTTATCATGATTATAAAAGTGTACAACATAGCACTCTTGCTTGTAAGAACATCAAAGTTTTCTTGGATTGTCAAGTCAGAGAAAGATGTTTTAGAGCAAGCCAAGTTACTTTATACGTCAATTCAAACTTTTAGATTTGGATATCTCAATGGGTGGGGGGACCTGAACACAAACTGCATACAGTTTTGCAAAGAATCTCTGAAACAGCTTGCCGTTTGTTTGATCTCCTGCACTCTTTTTGGCTCTTATTGTATTGAGGGAATCTTGAAAAGGTTAATGAGAAAAGGAGAGACATATAGATGGGTCCTTTAGAATGCTTCCTATGGCTACAACAAAATTTCTTTTGGGTCTATGTGGAATCATCACATGTTTGCCTTTCTGTCTGGTTCTGTAATAATAATGCCATGACAAATACAGTAGCATCACTCTCCTAGACCATGCCATCGGAAACCGGTTAAGACCAATTTTTATGGTCTTTTGTTGTTTTGGTTGTTTTACCAAGTTTTAGGATTTCCATGTATTAAATTTGGTATATTATTTGTAAAAATACTAACGGAGCGAAGCATAGATTTTGTTGGTAAATGAAGTACGCACTTGTGTCCCTTAAACATCACAGTTTTGGTTATTCTTGACGTTTGCAGGATTATATGGAAGACTATGAAGTCAAAGTCCCTTTCCAGTCCCTTCAAGCTTTGGGATGTCATGTTGATGCGGTTTGTCCAGCAAAGAAGAAGACTGATGAACGTTTCCCAACCGCAATCCATGACGTCTTGAGGGTGACCAAACTTACAGTGAAAAAACAGGCCACACTTTTGCTGTAACTGCTAACTTTGATGGACTTAATTCCTCCAGTTATGATGATCTGGTCATTCCGGGAGGCAGAGCTCCAGAATATCTAGCATTGAACAAACACGTCCTTAACATGGGTAAAGAGTTCATGAATTCTGAGAAACCAGTTACATCTACTTCCCACAGACAACAGACACATATCTTGACCTTTCTTGTTCCAAGCCAGCCATGATGATGCTGTGTTGCTCTCTGGAAGATGCAGCCAGTTCCAACGTACAGTGAACCATGAGGTCCATCCAAAGCTCTGATACTAACCTCAAAGAAGACACTGTTGTGGTTTTGACTTTTGAATAACATCAAAAACCTACAAACGTGTGAAGGAAATGAACATAACAGATTCTATCGTCACCGCGATCAAGCAGGAAATGCGTTATTTTTCTCAAAGCCAGGCCGCTTCTCTCTCGACACATAGACGAGCATGATAGCATGATGTCAACTTGTGCTGTATCAATGAAGTCCTAAGAATCTGGCTTCTGCTCCAAAAAATGGTTAGCAGGTTGGAGGAGCCAACCAACCTGCCTGTAGCAACCACTCTTTATTCTTTGGTCAATCATATACCAAAAAGTTTATACAAATCGAAGTAGTGAGATGATCTGTGTGTTGGAGACTTATGTTTCTGAGATGTAGATGGACCACATCTTTCACTAAGCATCTGCAACTTTAGAGCCCATCTTCGTTAGTGTGACTAAAGTCTCGACTCGAACAAGCTGCAGAAAAATAATTAAAGTTTGTAACAGGTGTGTTAAAATAACTCTGTCTTGATGTATCATTGTTCTGGTGCAGCATTAACGTGGTATCAGCGGCTTTCAAGGGTAGAAGATGATGTATAAAGCCATATGCGAGGAGCTTCAGAATGTAGTTCATACCGTTGATCAGATGACAACAAAGACTCCTTGAGAAGTTTGAAAAGCTTCCACAAGTGTGACCAAAAGCTCTGAATCTTTATTTGGTTGAAACTTCGATGTCAACAATGTGTTACTTCAATCTTGCTTCCAATTATGGAGTAATTGAAGAAAATGACAGCATAAAAATCAGCCAGAAGAAGATTTTTCTGCCTTCATTGACTATGTCTTCAGACAGGTAATACTTATATTAAACATTTCATCTTTTGACCAAAAAAAAAAAAAAAAAAAAAACATTTCATCTATTTTTGGTCTTGAAACCAACAAAAAAAAAAACTGCACAATTTTGTTAGCCATTAACTCATTAATCAATGTTTGATTGATCTCAAGGCCTTTGGTAATAACTCTGTTTTGTGGCATGGTCTAGGTCACTACTAGAATCGGTTATGGTTCTCCCAAACTCATACAATGACCATGGAGCTGCGCTTGGGGAGAAGGAACCTTTGGGTGGCCATATGAGGTAGCTGAAAAGGTAAGTAGAACCTTTGATTGATTTCTCCTCTTTTTGCTCTCTAATCTTTCCCGTTGGGATGTTGAGAAATCATGGAAATTGCCTGAAAATTTCTGTCCAGAATTTGCTGATTCCACTAGAGAAATTAGAATTAGAATTAGTTTTGAAATTAGAATTGATTTCGGTTCGGTTTGCATTGGTTTTGAAATTAGAATTGATTTCGTTCGGTTTGCGTTGGAATTAATAAGGTTTTGACTTTTGATAAAAGAAAAAATAAAAAGTCACGCACGCGAGGCTTTTTTTAAAAAGAGCGAGTGTGTTTCAAAACAGGCGATTTGGTGGGCTCAACTCGCGAGTGGTGAGAGTGGGCGTGAAATCGCGCGATGGGTGAGAGAGGGGTTGTGACATGGAGCGATCTGATTGGCTAATATAATGAAAATAGTAGAGATGTAGCTCCTACCTTCCTCTTCTCATAATAACTTTTATTACTTCTTCTCTTTTCGTCTTCTATCTTTGTGAAGAAAACAAGGGAAACTGAGATTATTACAAAAAACTTTTAGACAAAATTTTGTCTTGTTTATATTATTAGCCAGCTTGAGAATGAAATTAAGATTTCTTCAATCTGAATGTCCATTAAGATACAATTGAGAGTCTTATTATTACTTCTTCTCTTTTCGTCTTCTATCTTTGTGAATAAACAAGTTATGAGATGTTTACAAAAAAAATTATTTGTGCAAAAATTTTTGTCTTGTTTATATTATTAGCCAGCTTAGACTGAAATTAAGATTTCTTCAATCTGAAAGTTGGTGTTTTTGGATACAATTGAGAGTCTTATTCCATCTTATAAACGATTTTGTTTTCATAGAGTAAAAACACACAACTTTTTGGAAAGTGATTTGACAATACTTTAACTCTCTTGATAACATCACTTCACTGACCACTGTGGTTTTCAAAGGGATTGCTCACAAACTGTTTTATTTTTTCCATTGTTACAGCATCTGAATAATCTTCCATTTCGTTTTAAGAAAACAAAGATTTTGATTTCTTGGGTCCTCTGTTCTTGAGAGACCGCCTTGGTGGTGGTGATGAATCGCCGAAATTGCCAACCATATACATTTAGACAACTGCCATTAGAAATCCACTAGGACAACCTATGACTGGCATGAAAACATTGATTCCTCTTTATCTTCCTCTGGCTGCTTGGTCTGTGTAGAGTATGGTTTTTGGATTTGCATTCCACATAGTTTGTTGTCGTTCGCGGAAATTTTTGGATTGTTCAATCTGTCTAGCTAAGGACTCTTAGGGATTCTACCTGTAAGTTTGTTGTTGCTCAACTCCAATACATTCAGCTCACCGAGCTTGGAAACTGTCTACGGGATTTCGCCTGAGAGGTTATTGTGTGAAAGGTTTAAAATCTCTACCTTCTCAAGATCTCCAAAACTTTGTAGAGGTTTAAAAGCTTTAAGCTTTTGAGATTTCTTAAAGAATATGGGATTTCTCCGAATAGCTTGTTCTTGGAGAGGTCTATTAGAGTGTAGAAGTAGGGGTTTCTGTTGGCAAGAACCATGTTTTGAATTTTTCCAGTTCACTGCTAAGTCATGTTTTCGATAGTGAAGTACATGAAAGGCAAAGGCGAAGACGAGCTCTGGAGAGATTCTTTCATGCTTGTGAGATTCCCAAGAGATGAAGGGAGAGATCCATCAAGATTGTTCTCTGAGAGATCCAATACCTTGAGACTTGTGAGATTTGATATGCATTGCTTCTGTTCCTTAGGCCAACATTTGCTCCTGCTGGTGTGATTATTCATTCATTCAATGGTTGTTCAGCTGAAGTAGTTCCTAAACTCGCTGAGCTTGGTCTTTCTCTGGCTGGTTCACTTACATTGATGAGAAAATTGCCAAGAAGACTTTGAAATCGGTTTGTTTCTTCAATGTCCTTAACTAGCAAGGTTTAGAACACAAAAAAATAGAAAATAAAAAAAACTTAACTAGCACAACTTTTTCAAAAGTCATGTCCCCAAAATTCGGCTTAATACAAGTTTATAATGCCCTAAAGCTTTTCCTCAAAACTGGTTAGGATTTATGTTGTTGGTATTCACAGATCCAACTAGTTTGTAATGAGCCTATACGGTTTTAAAGCCTTAAGTTAAAACCCAATGGGCCCTAAGTTATTCTCTCGCTTTCATTGATTAAAATCGATTTGCTTCTTCTTTTCTTTTTAATAGAGAGAAAACAAAGCACACGGCTTTTCACATTACTGTTTCCCGCTTTCCCGCTCCTCCTCCATTGAAATCTCCACCTTCTTCTTCTTCTTCTTCTTCTTTTAGGGCTTTGTTGGAGTACAACGACCCAGTGAGTATAAATCTCGCCGGAGATGGATACACCAGATAAGAACCGCATCTCCGCCGTTTCCTTGCGCAACTTTGAGGTTCTAATTATGATGATAATCTGCTCCTACTTTAGATTTATCCTTTTTTTTTGGAGTGAGACTCAGTTAATTTGCATCTACATGTTTTCTAAATTCGCTCGTCTTCAACGGATCTATTTCTCTTTGGGTCCATAATTCATACCGATTTTAACTGTTTAAATTAGGTTTTGGGGCTTGTGATCCTCTTCCTTACCTTAATTTTCAGCAATTTGACTCGATTAGAGTTTTGTTTTTTTGCTGCTACTCGATTAGTATCTTTCCAATTATGCGTGAAATTGTGGTCACTAATTATGTATCTGTTCATGTTTCTTTGTTGTTGAATTGAGAGTTTTAATGAGTGTTAGATGATTCTCACTTTAATCTGCAGTATTCTCCAGTTTTTCAATATATTAATGAACTCTCACCAATAGAGCCAGTAAAACCAGCACCCCCAGAAAATATCTTGCACTCACTGGCTTTTACATCTCCATCATCTCTATTTAGTTCCCCGCAGTTAACCTCTTACCGAGATTCCAGATTTTCCATCAAAAGGTAACTTGATTTTTCCTTTTAGTTGCCTTCTTGATAGGAGTTGGATTAGTTCTTAGTGTTAATATATGCTGACATTGGTGTTGTTGGGTGGTTATGCTGCTTGTTTAGGCATCGTTCTCTAGATCTATCTAGTCCACCACTAGTTCTCATTGGTGAGACTGTAAAAACCTCACCAGATGCTCAGGAAGCTGTTAAGATATCAGGACTATGTGAGGAGCAGCTACAGTGTAGGCCTGCACAGCTGGCAAATGTTTCTGAAACTAAGCCATTTAAGGAGCAGATAAGCTTAGCAATTGAGTTGGCGAATTCATTGAAACACGCAATGGATGGATGTGATACTCAAATGGTTTCTTGTGATGAAGTACCAATGGATGCTGAAAATGAATTAGGAGGCTGTGGTGGATCGAGAGAGCTGTCTGATGAGTTATGTAGACACCCTATTGATCCACTTGACTTTGATGATGATTCAGATGGAGTACATCAAACTGAAGAAATGGAAGCTGAGAGTGGTTTTGGTCCAGAAGTAATAATGTTTGATGTTGCTGGTATCCAGAACAATGAGCAACAGATTCCAAGGACCGCAGATCCTAGATTTTATTCTCTTGCTTCTGTGCCTCAGCAGTTTTCTATCCGTTGTAATAACTCAGCGAATGTACTTGAGCCTGGAGGTTCTTGCAGTGTACAAGTTGCAGCTGGAGCTCCAGACATTACTCTCAGCAGTTCCTCCAAAGTAGCAGCTATTGTTTCAACTGCTGAAGCTGAAGACAAGGAAGATAAAGACCTACAGCCCAGTCGCAAGGTAACATTTCAGTAAATTGTTTGTTGTTGATTTTATGTAGTGGTAAATGTCTTCTCAGACCTCATGATTACTCATTAGTTATGTGTACATTTCTTTCATTATTTACCTTTTAGCGGGCATTGTTCTCCAAAAGTCATCGAAATCATGATGTGCTTTTGGAGACATAGACTTCATGTGGGTGTTTTTTAGTTAGATCATTTGTTTTCCTATTTGCAGTATAATTATTTTTCATCTGGCTAGTTAATGAATTGATTTTAACTGTAGAACTTAGCTAATAACTATAAATTGACTATTGCAGCAACAAAGTGTA